AGATGTTTTATTAATAAATTATTAAGTCCATCTATTAAACATTCAAAGCATACTTTCTGTTCTATTTTGTGTTTTGCTATTTTTCCCATGATCAGAAAAAAACCTACTAATATCTTGATAAATGCGTGTGCAATAATAAAAATACTCACCGGGGGTAGTAATATTGGTGGCCATGTTTCTCTTGTACAGGCAGCTGAGTTGTGATCAGTTGCTGATTTGTTCTGCTGTTGAGTAGCTCTATTGCTGTCTAAGCCTGCCCTTATATGCTTCTTGTCTCCTCCCCTTTTATCTGACTACTAAAGCATGTAGTTAGTTATTAACAGCAATTTCATGTTAACAATTGTCATTATTTGCCTAGTCATACCGAATGTAGTCTTAAAAAACGCTGTCTCCCACACCTGAACTCTGTACTGGGATGCATTCATGATTTTTTTTTTTTTTTAACATAGATTTTTTTAACAAAAAACAAAAAAATATATATATTTTTTTATTTACTTGATAAGCATAGTTAATCATCACGTCATTAAATACATTGCTTAAATCTTGCTTTACAAAAAAATTACTGTTTTTACTGATATTGTCTTTTTTATTTTAAAGATTTTCAGTGAGCAGCTGTGCTTAGTTGATAAATTCTAATGTGTAATAAACCATGTTTAATCTGAAAAACTCATATGAAGAGAAAAGACAATTAGAAGAACTTTATTGATACAATTACTTTGTCTTTGGCACTCAGACCTCGGCAGGAAACATAGTGCTGAATTTTTGATAGATATGCATGAACAGGACTAAAGAATAGGGCTGTTTCCCCCCAGGCCTGAAACTGGTGGTGGAGTGGAGAAGATGAAGTTGGTCAGTCTGTAGACTGCTGGTTAGAGAGACGGTCTGCTGAGCTTTATGTGAAAATCCAGTGGGCTGTTTGAGCTGATACTAGAACTTCACTCAAGGACCTAGAAGATGGAAGTCCAGTTTGATAACACAGGTAGAGAGAACCTGTCAATAATGAGCAAGCATGAAGCAACAGTGGAGAGGAAAATCTCCCCAGTGGGAAGAAACCTCTGGTAGAACCAGACTCAACATGGCGGTCTCCTGCCAAACCAGTTGAAATAAGACGCAGAATGCAGTAAGAGTTTGGGAGGAATGAGACTGATAAAGCTTTAGCT